ATACTTCTGGTTACAGTTGATACTTTGCTTCCAGGCTTGACTTTAAGTTGCCAGGCTGAAGTTTTAATAAATTCTGGTTTGCAATGAGGAGAAACTTTTTATCAAAGAAGATACTCCTGCATTCCAGGTTTATATGCTTTAGCATGTAGATAGGTATGGACAGTTTTACAGAACTGATGATATCTATCACCACCGCTCTTATGAAGTGACCTCTAATGGACAACCAGTCATGGTTGATGATTAAGTCATTTCATAAGTCTGCATTTGTAGTGCAAGTTTTGTACATACATTTGCCGGTATCTCCTTCTTGTGTTTTCGATGTGAATGTGAAAGAGAGTCCTTTTGATGCAGTTTATTTTGTCTGTGAATGAAAGCGGTCGAGACCACGTCACGAGAAGATTATTCCTCGGACCGTACGCTCCTTGCATTTTGCAAGGCATCTTAATTCATTGCATTGTGCGGTCTTGAATTTTTAGTTCTTTGTTACGCGAGTGTCGTTTGATTCTTTTATAGGTCTCTGTAGAGAAAAAGCCGCTTTCCCTTTTAGTTTGATTTAGCTCAGGCCATAAAGAGCTAGTGAGCGCCGGTACATGGTATCTCCGCCTGCGAAAAGTACAGTCTCCAGCCGAGGTACATTATCGATTTGATTTTGTACTTGAGGTGAGTCAGCTATTGCTCCCTCACTGTATTTAGTAGCTATGAGATTACCTTCTCTGAAGTGTGAAACACACTGGATTAGGTAAGTACATGGCACCGTAGTTTTCTTTTAAGTTGTCAGAGCTAGCTGGACTGATTTAGCCTTGCAGTAGAAAAAGAGTATGCGACATACGCAATCAGCTAGAAGTGGACATGAATCTTGTGCCTGCTGAAAAGTAGAGCCTACCTGTACAGGGTTCCACTCCAACAGCTGATATAGTGTGTCCATGCTTGACTGCTTCAAGGCTCAAAGAGCAAGAGGATAAGACTCTGCGCATAAAAGACACTAGCGGTCTGCACCTCTACCGTGCACGCCCTAGTCACTCTTTCACCCCCCGCCCCCTTGGAATTGATTTTTCAATACAGACCCCCCCCCCTCTAAATTCAATTCTCTCCTGGAGAACGTCTTCGTGAGCCTCTCATGATTTCAGGATATCTTGAACATTCAGAAAGAGTGCATATGAAACTTTAATCACGAAAGGTGTTCCCCGAGGGGATACATACCTAGAGTTTGTTTTGTGAAGCACGTCAATTCTCTCCTGGGGAGCGTCTTCGTGAGCCTCTTATGGTTTCAGGATAGTTCAAATCCTATGATGCTCCGATTCGATGCTCACCGATGATCTGAGCCATGGGGCAAGTTTGTTTTCCTAAGAATATTTTTGAACATTTCGAGAGCATATGTTTGAACATTTAGAGTGCATATGAACATATATTTACGAAAGGTTGCCTCCGAGGGAATAAATCACCATGTCGAACATTGCATTTTTGTTCCTGCCTCTCGCGTTCTCTTCTCTTCCCGCTGTCCTACCTTTCGTGTCTCCCTCCTCTCAAGTTTCCTCTACACAACATAGGCACTCCTTGATCTCAAGACAAACCAACAGTTCGGAACTGTTCAGGCCAAGTTGGTCCAGCCCCATCAAGAGTAGATCCAAGGCACTCTACATTGGGGTGGCTTCAGGTGTCAATGTAGGCATATACAATGCTGCATATTCCATACATGGAGTGCTTGGGATTGCAAGGCCAAAGCCAAGCTGACTTTCTACAGAATCAGAATCACTGTAAATTCAATGTTCTGTCATTCTATAAGGATTATAAGGCCTTCACAAGTCGATAAGCACATTGTGGTGGCCAACCCCAGACCCGCAACTACTTGTAATAGGTAGAATCTTTGATGGGAGAGCTCTTCGGCATTTACCAAAGCCAGCAAAGGGCACATTGAGAGCAAGTCCGCTTGGTTCATCCTCCCATTCTGGACACAGGTTTCGAGGACCAGCTGAATCCACAGCGGGTTTCAAGACGCCAGGGACTAACGATCGTGATTGTGTGTGGATCCTGCGGACGGCCTTCGATATCCGGAATAAGGCGACGCGGAACCGAGCGAACATGACACGCATCATTCTGGCATCTCCGTGAGAACGAGAGTATAAGAACAGGTGGCAGTAGGCAAGATATGGCGAAATGATTGAACGATGGGCCAGTGATGAGGTATCAACACAGTTTGTGTATCCACCAGATCATGTACTGTACTAAACTGATGTCTAATATGCATTTGGTTTTAACTCATAGCCACAGGTGAATGTCGCCATAAGCAGTCATAGCAAATACTCCGGAGGTCGAATCCTTCTTTTATCAACTCAGCTTCTTGTCAGTGTTGGCCTGCAGAGCGTATAGACAGTTCGAGCTTTTGGATGCTGGAAATGCGTATCAAGCCAGTAAGCTCATCGGCCCAAAGATGCTCGACTCAGCTCATCGGAACACGGGCGCCGTACCGCAACGTTGTTGGGCACCGTACCGCAGGTGATCAGCAAGCGGAGGTTGAAAGCAGTGGCCTCAGAGTTGGTGATACACAATTGAAAAGATACCAGAAAAACAAGCTCAAAAAAAATGGATGAACTAGTCTGGAATATGTTGACTACAGTAATTATATCAAGTAGGTTCTTCCATATATGACTGACCCTTGTTTCAAGGTCCAGCACCGAAGCTGGTACCAGAATGTAGGCTTTGTAGACTTGATTCTACGATTCGACCAGTCACAGACAGCTTGCTTGAACTCTTGGGGGCGTTACCTACGATGTGAAACCCTTCTGCAGTCGCATGCTCTTCAGCTCTTCAATGTATGCCATATATACCATGAGTCATGTGCATCAAGATGACAAAGGACTACTTGCTATCTTGTGCTTGTGGCCACCGACCTCGTTTTGCTGCTATGATGTGCGGTGTGATTGCCTCCCCACGTTTCAGCTTAAATCTGCAAGAGGGGGAAGAGAATGAACGTTTGTTATTGCCCAGGAATCAGGGGAGTTCTCCAAAGAGATAGAGGAGGAGCTTTGAAGCGGTCGTTATTGCGAACTCGAAGCTCCTGGCGCGGCTTTGCGCAACTTCTGTTTGTTGTTGCAAGAAGGTTTGTTTAGAGTGGGGTGATCCTGTGACCATCAGGAACCAGTCACTATGTCCATGTGTCACAAGAACAACCAGTCCCAGTCCTTGAGTGTTTAGGCGACCCTAAGTCCCTGGGAGGTTTGGGGCTCTATGTGGATGTATGTGGGCGACCCATTCTCCCTACAGTTGGGAGACTAAATCCTGCCTGAGGATTGTGAAGAATGATTCCCCAGGAGATGCAAGGCGCATTGCAGGTTGCAAGAAGCTCCCAGCACTTCCAGTTTCAGCAAGGTCGCCCCAGTAGAAGCCGTTTTGAGCCCTGTGCCCTGCAAGAATCTGTGGTCTCTGCAGGATCCGCCATCAACCTCCTCGACACTTGTCTGAGTATTGAGACCGCACGACAGCTGAAGGAGCGACAGCGAGGAGCGACAGGCGAAGCACCAGCCGACTTGTGTGAAGCACCAACCTTCCACTGAAAGAGATTGAAAGGGACATGAAAGATCCAGGGAACCCCAAATTGGGCAACACAGTTACAGATCAATTTGGGGTTGGATCACCGGGCGAGTTTGCTCATACTCCAACAAACACCAGACTATCCCGGGCAACAGCAAACTCAAAGCCCGGAGAGTCTGGTGTTACGTCCAATGCACCCATTCCAGCGACAGACCTCGCCGATGTCAACGAAATGTCTTCACCTCGAGGGGGAGAAGTGCACAGGTCATGACAAGACCACCATGGCCAGTGCTACAGCATTGCAATGTGTTGCATGAATGAATGTGACCATGCTTTTACAATTATTTTTACATCGCTTTAAATTTCAACCTGTTGCATTGTACCAACGCGTCTTCGTGTCTCATGCGTGCCTCGGGGGTGTGCGACGACTCACAGTCGCGTCGTCGGTCGTCGCCTCGGGTTTGCGACGACCTGAGGCTTAAACAACCAAAGACTCTCTTAGATCCAAAGCTGGTCGAGTGTGGGCGCCCAGAACCGGCCTGATTTGAAATGCGACGTTCAAGTTATGGACACCCCACCAGACTCATCGAATACTACCCATCGAGTCTGGAAACTATATAGAGCATGTGAAAAGCATCATCGGAGGTGCAGGGATAGTAAAGTGTTCAAAGAAGACCATTCAATAGGTCAGCTAAAGGGTTTTCCCTGTTTCCTATACAGGCTCATACCTTACCAGCTACTTTCACAACAGGTTTTGCTCAATCTACCTGGGCCACACAACCAACTGAAAACACATGAGTTACTGACTAGTTAGTAGCTTTCTTTGTGGTCCCTGGTTTCTCAGTTCCAGCTAGTGCTTTGATTCACATCAGAACAATGATCGTCAGATGACCCTCAAAATGATATCAGAATATGTGGTTCTACTTTCGATGTTTACTATTTTTTAGACCAGCAAAGCTTTCCAAGGGTTGGCGGAGCTGTGGAGTTCGATGGTGAGCTGCTTTTCGGTGTTAAACGAAGAATTTTCCTGGAGCAGAAGAACATATAGAAGGGCCAACAGGAGCCCAGATATCCCGGCAGTGGCGGAATTCGAGGTCAGGCACCTGTGCCTATGGTCTACAGAAAATCGGTATGCTAGAAGTGCTTCTTCTTGAAGTGCTTCGATTTAGCAGTTCAACAGTGAACTGTTGGTGGGTGGGAATAAGGGATCCTTCGTCAATCGTCTCTTCAGTATTTGGAGCTTTTGGTTCGGGGGGGACAACTGGATGCAGTTCTTTTTCATTCCAACAAGGAATGAGGGATCCAATGGTCACCACGCTGGGAATGCTTCAGTCTATAGATGATTGGTTAATATTGGTTATAGGGGTCAGAACCAGTTCGCACCACCAGCCAGCATCTTTGGGGCCATTCTTTTGCGACCACGGCTGGACCGAACGCAGCTCTCCTCTCTCGAGGACCGAGGGTTTCGCGCCATGGAGGGTTGGAGCGAAGCGTGTCGCGGAAGCGCGAGCGAAGAGCGGATGGAGTCCCGGCTGTAAAGAGATACTGAATCAACAGAGAGATAGAAATGACATGGAATTGTATAACTTATATAATGATAATATTAATAATGAAGTGTTTCATGTTGTTTAACTCTGTTACTAAAGTGACATGAACGTGTTTAATTGTAGATAGACATTACGTTACTAATGTCTGATGTGTTTAATTGTATAGGGACGGGTTCTAGTCTTTCTTTGCAGATAGTGTCGCTAGTGAAGCTGGTTATGGCAGGTTTCTCATTCCTCATGCTACATTTGTTTTTGGACTGGAGTGATCAATGACCAGTGACCAGCGTGACCACGTTTGTCAAGGTTGAAGCCAGCAAGGGGCGATGGATTCTGAACTCAGGCAATCTCGCATGTCAGGCAGGGCAGTTAAAGTACACACGGCCGATTTAGGCTTCTGTCACTGGCAATTACCACAAATGACATAGGTCTGGGCTCGAGGAATCTGACTTCTGCAAATACTCGACCATGCCAAGGATATGGGTCTAGCAAGTATCATGTTTTCTAGATACAATTGTCGTAGTTTCTTGTGAATTATTCTGATGGATCTTGAGCTGCCTTACTAATTTATATTTATATATTATAATATGTCCTTCCTACATGATTGATTCTGTTGTCCTTATCCTTGTCAACATTACTTTGTGGTGATTGATGTTTATTGTGCTGTATACCATTTCATGCGTCTTTACGCTCTGCAAGCACCTCACATCGAATCGCAGATTGCCAGCTGGCTGCCGCTGGTGCGCTTGCCGGCCTTTCGCCGCTGCAATCAAAGCTGCTATCGCAGCGTGGTGGCTTTGTTGGCGTCACTTGGCCCTACCAATAGGGTCAAAAGGACACAGATCGAGGGGATGGGCCAAGGCCAGATGTTCATCCAAATCCCCAAAGCCAGCGATTAGTGTTCGACCGTTACCCTCCCTGGCACTAACATGAAAGTGGAAGAACCCCTGTTTGTGGAGTACAACGCAATTCACTTCCATGTTAGTTCCACTCCGGAATGAAGTTCTGACTTCAAAACCACTTAATTTTAAATCAGCCCGAATGTAGACTCTTGATTCATTTATTAAAACCAAAAGCTATAAAGAACTATAAGCCCTTAACTTGGATTGTAGAGCCTCTTCATGTTTTTTTTTTGAGATTACATGGAGTCTTCGGTATGTCAGGGGGTCTCTCACCTGGATCTTTCTAAGGTCCGACGCAGCCTTGCGAGAGGACCCAGCTGCTGTGCCCGTTGGGGGGGGAGCGCCAGTCGAACGAAGCCAAAATGACGTAGTGACTAGGAGATTCAACAAATCAGAACAATCGAGTCCAAAGCAATGAACTATACAAAACAGTCCAACCATCTCAAACACCAGATCTAGGTTCAAGCCAATATAATATGATTATAGTACATAGAACTTTGATGCAGTTGAACTTGTGGTGGTTTGCGTTCGAGCCATTCTTAGTTGTATTGTGTGAAGTGTTGTTGCACTTACAAGAAGCAACTTTGATGCCAAACGCCCTCCAGGCGCTTGTCATACCCTTTCCTTGCCATCCCTTTCTTTGTGTCCACCTCCTCAGAACCTGCAAGGCTTTGCCATGCCCCTGCTCCACTTTTGTAGCTTGCTTCATATGAGTAACCACTTTTATTTAGGCTTGACTAAAGTAGTCTACGGCATTGGCATGCTCTATTTCATTGTCTATTAGCAGTATTCGCTTGCGAACGAGATAGGACCCCCACATAAACGAGATACTTTTGCTTGACGACACTAAAGTAGTCTGAACGAGATAGTGTGATTTGCTACTAAAGTAGTTTGCACGAGATACTGTGACATGACCTCCTACTTAAGTAGTCTAAACGAGATAGGGCCCCCACATAATAGATAGTGTATCTGAATTTAGTACCAAATATATCAATGCCGCCCCACATATGGCCCCATGCCGTTGACCAGCTAGTCATTTTAGCGCATACCGTGACTCGAACATGGAACGAAAGTGGGGTTGGACAATCAGCCAAGGCAGGGCCCAATTCCAACCGTTGAAACCCGCGATTTCACCGCTGCGTTCCACCTACCACGGTCACGTGACTGGACGCATTCCGCGTTCCGTCGCCGCATGTCTAGTCATCCCTCTAAAACCACCAGCTCCATAGGCCTCCGCAGACCTGTCAGACCTCCTTTTGGCTTCTGCTCCAACCACCCACGTGGCTCTTAGCACACCAAATTCCACTTCAGGAAGAGCCAACCCTGTGGGTGTTTTCATTTGGGCTGTGTATTTTCATAAGGAGGCCTCCCTGCCTCAAGGGATTTGGGTCCTATGTCCCTTCTTCCAGGGGTCTTTCACGGGGGTCGGTCTCCCTCTTTGAACTACACACCCATTCTGGCTTTTCGGTCTTGGCGCGTCTCATACAGACCCAGTGAAGTCCACCCAGCTGAAATGCTTTGGGGCCCAGCCTGACCGTGACGGTCCACGCGTGTCGCGCCCATGCGCATGTCGCGCCCGTCGTGCTGTGTCCACCGCCACGGTCAGGAGCTGGAGGAGGCCTTGTCCACCGCCTTGGCGCAGGTCGACAAGCGTGTCTGGGTGGGCATTCGCCTCCGGCCTCATGATCGTCATGATGGTCGCTTGGAGCAAACATCCCAACATCCCTTTGGGGTCTTAAAGAGAGAGGAGGGAAAAAGACATGGGAAAAGGAACCGATGATTCACTGGTACTTGGAAGATGATTCACATAGATTCACGAGTACTGGTGGTTGGAAGAGGTTGGAAGTGTCTCGAAGTGTCTCAGAGTGTCATCATGTCCCACATACATTGAAGGATGAACTGTGATGAATGGATGATGTGACATTTAATTACATCCTGAGAAGGTCTTACAAACAATCAAATCAATGAACCACCTTTGTAGGTGTTGACAGGTTTACTTCATTGTGGATATTGTCCTTGAGTTTTGCCAGTCGGATCCAGTCGATTTGTTCAATGGTCTGAAGAACATAAACCCGGACTGTGCCAAGGACGTGTTTAGACAAAGGAGGTTCCTCATGGTTCCCCCAATTTTGCGAAGCAGTCACTGCCAATGTGAACAATTGTCCAAAGCGTTTTGCCCCTTTAGCGGACGCAAGCTCCTGAGGGTTTGGCCACAAGGCCCTTTCCTAGGGCTCTACCTACCTCCTGAGAAGGCTTGGGTGGCTGTGTGGGTCCGTCCCTTCGGCGCTCCATGCGCTTGGAGCCGGGCTCGGCGTTCGTCTTGCCATCGCCCCGTTCGACATGGGCTGGTCAATCGCAGCGACCGGGCCAAGGTGCAGAGAACTGTTTGCAGGTGGACCGACGTCAGATCGTCCAAACCTTGGGCCCTGCCAGCCGGGTCAACTTCTTCTTTGATGAAATCTTCAAGGAAGACACCAGGCGAATGCCATGGGGCGATGATGGATGAGTGGGGGAAATTACGGTATGTTTATGATGTGGATGGTTTGGAAAGCAAGTCTCAAGGACCCTTTTAACTGGCTTTCAGTGCACAGAAGTATGGTTCAATCAGCGTTGGATTGGGATTTGCTGAGTTTCAGCATGGCGACATTTGGACCTGGATGTCCCAAAAGTATCTGTGCTTCTACTGCTGCACTTATGTATTTTTATCGATGCAATGCTCTGAAGATGATTTTGCTTTGGCTCGCACAAAAAACTTGAAGAGGAAAGCCATTCAACTGTCCTCTTCGTCCAATGCTGAGCTTTCAGGGTTTGACTCGTCCATTCCAGCAGTCTGGAGAGGAACCAGGCTCAGAGGTGAGCTGGGATGTGGTCTAGGGGTGGCCCAGCCACCACCACCTCACCCCTTCCATTCCAGTCAGTGTGTGTGCAAATCAGTGTGTGCAAGGCAAGAGGATGTTTGGAGCCGATTACAGGGCCCGATGATGAGAACTCTCTTGCGGAGGGAGCCTCTTGGCAGAGGTCTCCTCGACGCTTTGGGCGCCTGAAGGGCGCAACATCATGGTGAGCCGAGCGCAACAGGTTTGCTTTTTGGGGTTTGCAAGTCCAAGTGAGGTGCTTCTCTTCCTGGTGCCATACTGTGATTGCATCACATGAACTCTTGGGGGCACAAGTCCTTGTGAGAGAAAGGATCACAGAAAAGATGGATTTTGTTTAGGGCCTAGGGCAAGCGGCAGATGACACATGTGTCCAATCTCCAGCCTGACATTGACATGACTGGCCGTGTGAGACACAGCTGTTGAAGTTCTCAAGGTGGGCCGCAACTGATGGGCACCTTATCCCCCCAGCGACTGTTTTGGGGGGTGGGGTTGAACGGAGCCCGCTCACGGCCCTCTTTATCGATCTTACTAGGAAGACATTCATTTACTTGCTTTGAAGAGGAATAATTTCTACATAGTTCATGCAAAGAGTGCGTACTGCATCCCATGTTGGATGCATGCTTCGTTGTCTCGACAAAAAGCACCCGCTAAAGTCCATTCTTAGAGACACTAAACCATGAGAACTCCCTGGTCACCTGCCAAAAAGTCAACTATATATATATATATAGTTGCACCTTCTCAAAAATGACATTGACAGATCCTGAGGCCGCAACATCAGAGTCACGTCCAAGTAACACGCAGCACTGAACAAAAACAACACACCTTTTCAACCATCATATCTTCAGGCATTGCTGCTTGTTCGCCTATGGGCAGACGGGTTCCGGCAAGACCCACACGGTCTTCGGAGATCCCAGCACTGAGTCCTCCAAGGGCGTGGCCTTTCGAGCCTTGGGACACGAAGAGACGGAGTATGTCTCCGCCACCATGGTCCATGAATGTCCATCGGTCTGGTGTAGATCGGTCCTTCACAAAGAAGGATGATGAGTTTGTTTTCTTTTTGTGGGGAAGGGGGTTGTGAGTGGTTGTGGTCCTGGACGAAAATAAGGCTTGGCACGATTGGCAGGTGATTTCAGGTGCTAAAACAAAACCACGATGGCCACAAGCAAGCTGGAGCTGCAGTTTACCAACCACTCTGGAAACGGGAATACTCCGCGGTCGTGTTATGTGCGGATCTTGCGTCTTGTTGTTCCAAATATGAACTAAAACCCAATGTTCACTGCCTGGGGTGCATGGAGTTGCAGAAAGACATCACGCATGAATCATTTCAGACTGGATATATGTCTCATGATTTGCCGTGTTCGCAGTTCGCACAGCCTTGTGGGTGCACAGCACAGCCATCCAATGGACTGCAGTGCTGAGGACTGCTTGAAAATCTCGGCAAGCTTCTAAATGGTGACACCTATCCGAGCATTTCAGAGGAGGTTCAAGAGAAGGCAGTGATCGAGTTTAGCTTTCTGGAAGTCTACAACGAGAAGATTCATGATGCTTGGCAAAATGACTTGCTCTGATGCAACAGGAGTTTGGCCGTAAATAGCTTCAGTTTGCTGGGTTCTTTTGGGTTCTCACATTTTCTCACTACTTTTCTTCAAGCAAAGTTCAGCACACTTTACCCGAGCGGGCGTACAGGTCTTCCTTGAGCCACTCCGGGTTTGGCTTGAAGCACATTAAAGCCAACCCCCCCGGGGACACACCATGCTTCCAATGTTTTGGTTTGTCAGGGACTTCGAAAGCTCTCACTTGCCCCTCGCATGACATCCGCTTGAAGGGGATTCATTTCACCAGGCAAGAGACCAACAATCAGTTTTTATCTACTTACGTTTTGGCAATGGTGTATTTGCAGGCTTCCATTCTGAGACAGAGTAGAATTTTTCGAGCAAGCGGCTTTGCACCACTCACTCGACTCAAGTCATGCACAGGACCTGCTGTCAAACTCGAAGCTTTGTACACTGGCAGGCCAGGGGAGGATTGCTTCGATGTGGCTTGCCCTGAAACTGAGAATCCTTACTGACGACAAAAAACAAATATAAGAAACACGCTAGGCATTGTGGGTCCCCCTCATATCAGAATGTCATGCAACACATGCAACCTAACTGAGAAGAGGCTTACAACATGGACTAGTGTACGCACTGCACTCTTTTGTTCCAAGTATTTAATGTGCATAAGTTGATCCTTTGAAGATCCTGAGCTATGGCCTGCCTCAGGGACTGCTCGTCGATCAATGGTTGTTGCCTGATGAAAAGCAATCCCAGCAGCTTCATGAACTTCCACCAGCTTCGGGGTGTGTCTTTTCTTCGTACCACGGGTCGACTCGTCAGACGCGCATCTCTCCGGTCCTTGGTCACCTCCTTGGTTAGCTCAGTTCACGGACGCTGCAACTGGTCAGCTCGCAGGCGAGCGGGAGGAGTTGGAGCCCGGCAGCGCCTACAAGGCACCGATCTTGTCGGCGGAGGAGCGCGTGGTGGTCCGCGGCCTGACGCGGCGGAGGTGCAGTGGAAGGGGCCCGGGAAGGACTGGGGAAAAGAGGTGGAAGGAGGTGAGGCGTCCTTGGAGGACTTGAGGATTGGACAGTGCTTTGGAATGCTTTGGACTTATATACTTGTGGTGGGCGTTTGGAATTGTCAGTCGTTTTCCATGATTTTGGAGGTGGTTTCTTCCATGTTTCGGTTGTTCCACCTGTTTGTCCAAATGGACATGGAGCTGACGACTTCACGGTCCCGGTCCGTCGTCCCCTGGAGGTGTGATCCTGGACAGCTCACCCAGCAGGCAGGGGTCGTGGCTCGTGGGTCCCGAGACCTCATGGGCCATGGCAGAGCATGGCTTTTGGTCTATACAGCCCTTAAAGGCAGAAGCCATGGAGAAATCAATTCATCCTACAAAGACTGAAGGAAGAGATCATAAATCAAATCATATGACACTCCTTGAGATGGGAGTGCACCAGTGGTCACAACTGCAACATGGTGGCTACAGATGGTTTGGTGGGCTTCTTCTTGCGTTTGCCGTAGTTCCCGTTCCTGTAGAATCGCAAAATGATCTTTTGTGCATGAACCAAAGTGCCTGCCCATGATGCATGATGAATACCATGACATTAACAAAAACAAACTTAAAACACGTTTAAACACTAGATTTCATGTTGCTTGACCTATTTTCCCAACTAAGACCTCTCAGACCTTCTCTGTGCCATCAGCCCACCTCCTTTCCCGGGCCTCCGCCCCCCTCCAGGTGGGGTCGTGGCTCGTGGAGGGCGCCGCCTCACGGATGGTCGGCAAGACCGTCTTCAACCCTCGCTCGAGTCGAAGCCACGCGGCGACTCGGACCCGGCGATGGAAGACGACGACACGACGTCTGAAGAAGACGACGAGACGGTCGACGTCGGTCGATGACAGGTGAAGAAGAACACCAACGTGGGAGAATGTGGGAGAATGTGTTGTGTCGGCTTGCTGGAATAAAGATCCAAAAAAGGGTTGATGACCAGGGGTAAGTATGGCAAACAGGGATGAACAGAGCATAGTCGGATCCCTACTGTAAGGGAAGGTTGGCATGTACTGTCCACCGCCGCAAGGTAGCAACCATTCATATTTGCTGGAATGACATGCCGGACCAGAAGAAAGGCTGGAGGGTCCGCTGCTGCCAACACGAGTGGTTTGAGCCTATGGAACCTCCGAGGATTCTTTCTAAAGACAAAGCCGCACCAAAAATCGGCTGAACCTTGGGGCCCACACCAACGATCACAGTCCGATCGGCGTGAGTCAGGGAATGAGACCAGAGTGTACATCGTGGACTTGGCCGGCAGCGAACGGTCAGGGCCCGAGGCTTTAAGGAACTGCACGCTTTTTGATGTTGGTTACAGGATGTTCTCCTCAGTCCGGTGGTTTGTGAGGTTGACCAACCCTCAAAACCCCACCAAATGCACGTGGAAAATGGTGAGTTCTATGGTTTTCAGATGTTTTCAGGCTTTATCAGGATTGGTCAATTCATGTCCATTTGCATGAGGGTCCTTTTTCGGACATGGTGACATGGCCCAAGTGTAGCGCGGTACCAGCCTCGTTGTTTAGCCGAGAAAAACTCCAAACAGCCCTATTTAATATGATTTACATAGACTAGGCAGTAGATAACTGTAAACTTGCACTATCAGATGTTCTGTCAGTCTAAGCACTGACAAGTTGCTTCTATTATATACATGAAGTTTGCATCTTTGCTGATCCCAACCCTGCAGAACTGGCATCGAAGCCACATCAGTGGAAAGGTGTGCTGCCCACTTGGCAAGTTTGGGTTTCCCACGCATAGAAACAAATCTGCAACATTGTCCAGCAAAATGCATGTATTAGAGGAGTTCCTTTGAGAGGGTGCTTTAAAACCTGACATTTCAGTTCTTGTGTACAGATGCCTTCCCAGAACTGGCCCACATCTGGGCCAGAAAAAAGGGGACAACTTCATCCGGAATTCCCCAGGACTTGACTGGGTGAGAAACCCCTCACCTTGGGGTTGAACAAGATGTTGCCTAGTTTCGGACCATATCTATCTTTGCATGGAGTTTGTTTGGAAGCAAGTGTTTGGTTGGTGAGACCATGTGAAACTTGGCCAGACTCGCAGCAACAAAAGCTCAGGTCTGGCCAATATGCCACCAATACAGAGCAGCTGCGAGAAGGATCTCAACTGGTGTGACCAATCCATGCTTGGATCGCCTATAAGGGGTTGGGGATCCAGCTAACTGCGGAACGTCAGCTTTATTGAATTATACAGATACAATATCCCTCAAAACATCTCAGATCTCCGGGCCAAAATTAGTAAGTATCCAACCCTAAATCCTCAAGCACCTTGGGAGCCAAGACTCCAGTGGCTCATTTGACCTCACAGCAAAACTTGCCTTGAGCTGCACCTTGATGAGAACCGTTTTCCATTCAGTAGTGTTCGATGACTTCACCTGCTACGGTGTAGTGCCCATAAAGCATCATTAAAAAAACCCATAAAATAGCATCCCTACAACGTGCCTACACCCTGGTCTTTTGTTTCGTCCCCATGTGTGGAGACTCGACTCCTGTGGAGACTTTTCTCTTGGACTTGTGGAGGCTCTCACATCAACTTCAGGAGCTCTCACTTGTATCAAGGACGCTACTAGGTGGAGGCTATCGCTATTAGGTTGGAGGCCATCACTACTAGTAACAAAAAGCTACTATATAGTACTTTCCCACATCAACTTCAGGAGCTCACATCAACTTGAGCCTTTCCACCTTGGGCCGCGTCGTGACCGCCCTGTCTCGTCGCTTCGTCAGACAGAACGCGAAGCTTCGCGGGGAAGAGCGGTGAGTCGATGTCCGTTATGAAAGACTACGTCCATGACTTTGACTTATTGAAGTTGTTGCTTTTAAACCAGAAAAAGACATGACTTTTGCACATATATAACATGTAACATGATTGTCTAATTTTGATATTCATTGATACGGAACCATACATATTTGGTACTATGCCCTAGCTAGTATACCAGTACGTGCTAGATGCGAACAGATATTCAAGAATTCAAGAACCTGGCTCTTGAGTTGCTGAAAAGTTGGAAGTACGTGATTTCCGGCTTTTGCCAGGTGCATTCAGGCTTTTAGACCGCAAAGGGAATGCTTCTGACCGACCTTTTGACCTGCCGACCATCCCAACGTCCGGATGAGATGTTTTTGGGACGGTGCTCGAGGTGGTCATGGTGATCATGTACCACATCGAGATTCAGCCTTGACTTGGCTACTGACCGATGCGATTACAGGGCATCAAGCACGTGCCTTCATGACTGCGTCGAGCTTGTGAGGGCTGTGTTTGGTTGTGGGACTTTCCTGGAAACGACGCTGCTTGATTTGGATGGAGTTGGTTTCAGTAGATTACTTTGAAGGCAAGATTTTAGTCCTTCCCTTTGCATCACATGATGTCATTCAATTAGCTTTGGTCAAAAGGAAGGAATTTGTCCGACCGTCCTTGCTTTTGTCATAACACACCCGTCCTTGCCAACGGAATCCGTCTTCAGCTGGCAAAATCGCGGCGAGACGCCGAAGCTCCTCCCTGCGAGGATTGCCTCTGTGAACCCGCTCCATAGCGCAGAAACTCTGAGTACCCTTCGCTATGCTCAAGCGCCCCTGGGCGAAAACATCCGATTCGTAAGGCGCCGGGTAGTTCCACTCAGGGACCGAGGGGGTGACCGAGGGTGGCAGATTTCGGAGAATCACGGTCGGAGTCGGAGTCCTCAGGTGTTCTTGAAGTGATTCATATAAAGGGCTGATCAAGTTCATCAAGAGGAAGCAAGGGTTTTGTGATGTTGGAAAACCCCGTTCAGCTGCAATCATACCTGGGGCACCCAGGAAAGACTAATTAGTCTCCTTATGATGAAAAAGTGTTTTTTTTGCTTCCGAAGAGTAATTATTCTCTCGAACGTTAATTGGTCAAAAGACAAGATTTGCCCATGGTGTGCAGTTGAATGGGTGCAAATCCCAACCTATGTTTCTGCAGCCATGAAGGCAATTGAAGGCACATCACACTTTACATGACCCCACTGGTTTCCGAAGCACCGTAAATATGATTCTAGTGCCAGCAAGGTTCAATCGAGGCGTTTGATCACCCAAACCCCTCCTTCAGGTCCCCAGCCTTTTTGTGACTTGCCAGCGGTCGGCGTTGGAATCAAGTGAAAATGATTGGACAGGATTTGGGTCCTATCTTTGACCATTCCTTGTTCACACAACCAGCGACATGAACAGTTGGATGATCACCAAAAATGCTAAAAGCATATTATATCAATTCGAGCGTTTATCGTCATGACCATCATCCATGACAAACATGCACGGGCATTGCGTGTGCCTGCATCACACTTGATGTAACATTGTTTTTTGCGTGTGATGGCTGATCTGGAAGGGCGTTCACGTGCAGGTGATCCTGCCCTGTTTGTAAATCGAGAGGACGATTGGGCTGTTCATGGAGTCTTTGATCAATCATCTCTGATCTTTGTTCCGAAGCATTGTCACATCAGCTGGGGCAATTGGTTATTACACCACATATAGTTTGTTGTCCAAAGTGCAGCAAATACCCAAGGTACAAATATGTGAGACGCATCATCCAGCAAAGCCTCAGATCCTCAAGTCGTGTCTGTCCTGCAGGCATCCAGTTTGGCTCGAAGACTCTAGAGCAACTTGTCATGGCACGTAAGAAGACTTCCAACTCCGGTGCATCAGGTTCAGGGCACTCTTCCCCGGGTGCTGCCAGTGGAACATCGGCAGTCCGTGGACATTCTGGAGAGCGTGTGGGAAACTATCCTCTCACAGGGTTGTCACAGAAATGGGATGATGATGTCAACACTCGGTCCCGAATTAGAGAGGGACACTACTTGTGTCGGCACATGAATGAACAAACAAAAGAACTTGATGATTCTTATGTGGAAAGTTCAGTGGAAGATGCACGGGCCAACAAGTTCGTGGTAGCTCCAGTTCTCGAGTTTATGAAGACAAATGAACTTCGTATCCCTTCAATTGACAATCTGATCTTGGCTATTGATCTTGTCTACCAGACTGGGATGAAGCCTCGGAACTTGGAGCATTGCTATCAGCAAGCTTGGGCCATCAGAAGGATCATCCAGCAGGTCAAGTCCTTTCTTTACAAAGAGTCACCCCCGCAGGACTGCAAATGAACTCGTGCACGTGTTTGGGGCATGATCTGTTGTATGGGTTTCATGGCAGTTTAGGAGCAAAAAAAAGGGCCCCTTTGATTGTGCAACTGCCCTATATAGCTAATCCGGCCATGGAAACTTGGAAACTCTCATGTCCCACCACTCAGCCATTTGTCCTGAAGAATCCGCAGGATCCAGATATGGCATACCTTGTGCGGCTGCTGGGCATGGACTGCACAGCGGAGGTGGGGAAGGGCAATCCATACTGTTCCGCAAACATTGAAAGAGCAAATTCATTGCATACAAGGGATCCTTATGGACCCACTGACCCACCAACTTAGTGTGTTTCCAATCTTGAATGCATGTGACTCCTGTTCCAAATTCACCTGGAGAAGTGCCTATTTCAAAATTCAGTGGTGTGCAAGGGGCACGGAAGGTATAGGCGCACTATAACTTCAAAGGCATATATATATATATATTGTAATATTGTGTTTAATCAGTCTGCGCGCGTCTGTGTGTCTATGTCCTCAAAACAGTTCAATAGATTCTCATTTTCTGAGTTTGTGATTGAATCGTTTTCGTAACCCACATGTAAGTGTATATATCTTCTTCCTGCCCAACCCTGCAGGGATGGAAACCCATCAGACGGCCAAAGCGTGGGGATGCTTTGGATCCCCCATTGGTGCCTTCAGAGGGCAGCTTTCCAGAGACCCAAGTCATGGCGGAGCCTGTCACGGAATTGTCCGCTGAGGCTGAGGTCCCAACTCAGGAAAATTGTGGAGGTTCTGATCTGGCCAACCTGGACAAGCGAATCACCCGGGATTTGGAGAAGGCCTTTGAGAACGCTGGGGTTGACAAGGTGCCCGTTGCTAATTCAACGCCACCAGTGCTTGGGACAGTGCAACCTCCCAGTGAATGGCTACCAAGACTGCAAGGTCATACAAGCACTGCAGAGCCAAAGGACTGGTTTCAGCAATCAACATGTCACGCATGGAAGGTGGGCCCACGTACATTGTTCATTATTGTTCAACAATGAAACCACAAATCCTGAAGATGGATGCCTTTAAAAAAGACACTGAAACAAACATCAACATATATATTATATATATTTGCACGGGTTTTCGGGGTGTCAGGAAGCGGTGGATCTGGTGGAAATTTCCGATGGTGAGGATGAAGGACAACCCGAGGCATACCAGCCACTGCCCGCTGTGGATGAAACCGATGCCCTCATTGAGGAACTGACTGCGTTGAAGTTGAGCCTAGTCCTCGCCAAAATTGAAACATGTTCTATGCTTACCCTCCACCAAAAACGGCATGTATATGGAATTGGTTGCAGCAGGTCTTTATTTCTATTTTCTCGTATTCGTCAGACTATGCCAAGGAAGCATCAAGAGCCCAACACGAATCCACCAGAGCCTGAGCAGCCTGAGATGTCTTCGGCTGCGATTCCAGCACATCCTGGCCAAGGTCATTTGTTGGAAAAGATTGGTGATGTGATGTGTTGTGGAGGGGATAGGACGTTGAGGCCACAACTCACATGTATAATCAAGCCTGCCGTTGAAGCATCATAGGAACATGCCTTCCTTTAAACAATGTTCGAGTGTTCGGATGTCAAGGTTTAACATGATGTAATTAATGAAGTTGTTTCCCAGTCTTGATCCAGTCAGGTGTTTCGGAGCTGGTGTGTGATTCTCTCCCGTTTGGTACCGACAATGCTTGCACCCAGCTGCCGTGCAGTCCATCATCCCTTATGATCACAGACATTGCTGCTGCAACCTTGAGGACTGTGAAGCAAAAGGAAGATGCTGTGGAGGTGGCTCGACAGATTCAATACATGATTTGATCACCTCAAAAAGGATGTTGTTTTGCCAAAAGCTGACTGAACTGAAAGCTCCATGGGTCAGCTTATAAGGATCTTCTTGCCTATCATTGCCTGAGACCCTTGTTTTTTGATATCCCCGGAAAAGTGCATAAATATACACAGGAACCGCAGGAACTTTAAACTTGTGAGGGCATCCGGCTGCCATTCCATCCAAACATTGTTTAAAGATATCCCCAATTAAATTGTTGATGGTTTATGATGGTTTCTTTGCTTCAGGCTTCTACACGGGAGGCTGCAAGCAAACTACCAGAAGTTGGAGACCTCAGCCAGCAGGCTGAGGATGAGGTGATTACCCGCAGGCAGCAATTCCGCATGAAGAAAGACAAGAGAAAGCACAAGGAACAAAGAAAGCAAGAGAAAGCTTTGGAAAAGGAACAAAAGAAGGCAGAAAAGGAAGCCAAAAAAATTGAAAAGCTCAAGAAGGAGCAAGAAGCCAAGGAAGTCAAGGCTAAAAGGAAGAAGGACCGTGAGATGAAGAAGAAGACTGGAAAACAGGAAAAGGGACACAAGAGAGTGCGCCCTGAGGCTGACCAAGAAGAGAGTCAAGCAGTCGATCTCAAGGAGTCTGCATCAAAGGAAGCTGAACAGGACCAGCGTTCCGGAGATCGCCAATTGGAGGAAGCAGAGAGTCAACATGGCCATAATGAACAGCCATCGAAAACTGCTGAGCCCTCTGATGATATGGATGCAGTTGACATTCCCATGAATGATGGTGTTGATGGTGGTCCAGTCACACTGTCAAATCATGCTGTGGCACCCACCCGCCCCCGAAGAGGCAGCAAGCGATGGAAGTTACGACGTTTGAAGTCCAAGAAGGTTGCGGCAGGCTGCTGCTCAAAGTCACACAAGCGAAAGCTTGAGGAGACTGAAGAAGAATTGCAGGAGCAAGTGCATCACCAGTCAAAGACTGGGAAAGGTGCGAAGACGACAAGAAAGAAGAAGAATCAAAAGGAAGAGGACGGTATTGGATTGAAGAATGTTGCCAAGCAACCAGAGACAAAAACAAAAAGAACCAAGGGGAAAAAGCAGCCTGAGGGTGAACCTCTGAAAGAGGTTGTTGACCTGATCTGCAGTGTCCTGAAAGAATGCCAGGACAGTGAATGCACCCATCCTGCCTGGAAGGCTTTGAAATTCGATCCAAAGACCTACCAGGTCAGTGTATACTGGACACGAATGGCAGTGGGAGTGAAGGTTGCAAAGGAGTTGGTTGACAAGTCTCAGCCGAAGAAAGGTTCAAACAAGAAGCAAGGACAAGGCAAGACAAAAGGAAAAACACAGAACAAGTTCCGCCAGATTGCCTACTTCTGTTGCCCCACCGATTGCTACTACAGCAACGTTGCCCTGGCCTATGAGTTTGCCCCCTGACATGATTTGAATTTCGGGAATTTAATGTGGATATATGAATAATGTATATAGGACAAATGTAATTTATGTGGGAGCTTGCCTGTTGCCATCTCGGCACGATGCCCAGGTGAGAGAGCGCTGCAGCAGTCGCCTGATCCTTTGGCGCCGGAGATGAAGCTCCTCGAGAAGAACCTCAAAGCTTCGCACGCGCGTGCAGTGGGATTGCATCAGGCTTCTTCCAGCATGGCCTAGA